TCAACAAATCCAAAACAAAAGACGGCTTTAGGGCCTTCGTGTAACAACGAAAAACTAAAGAAAATACTTCGTGATGTCAGTTATATGGGTTGTAAAAGATTATTGACCTATTTGCTTATTTCTTTTTATAACTTTTTAAAAGCACTTTGATTTACTGAGCTTTTAATAATCTAGGTAATTAAGCATCAAAAAATTAATTAATTTTCAATTATTTTTAAATAATAAAGGTTTGTTGTTGATATTTTAGAATATGGGGATAGATGTTACAACTTCAAAGCGAAGTATACGAACAGCAGCAGAAAAGAAACTTGGTGGTAAATTTAATGTTATCTGTTCCAAAGAAGAATTTGGATATATTTCTTACGCCAAGGTCTTCTGCCAGGAAACTACCAAAAATTTGACTTGTTATGCTTTTAGAGCTTCAAAAAAATAAACCTAAATAAAACTTTACATTGATGGCTGTTTGACACTGTAACTGCAAGATAGTATATAATGGCAACTTTTCTACTTAAAAAGAATTTTTCAAAGAAATCATTTGCTGGAAATATTCAGGGAATTTTTGAAACAGCTGTAAGCTATCAATTTATATCTTATAAACTCATTGTTTGTTATATTTTTTAAACAAAACATCTACAGTCTGAAGTTAGTCTTTTAAAAAAAAACTCTTATATCACTCTACTCATCAATTAAATTCAGAATAAATACGACCACAGAATTTTGCTGTTGAATGCTTACGGTAACATCTCAGCAGTCATCGTTCGACTGAAAACTGTGTCACAAAACCACTAACAATAACTTATTCTGTTTATTGCCTGTCTAAATATCCAAACAATTTGCATAACTATACCAATAAATTTCCAAAAACCTTTGTCTCTTTTTCATGAATCAAATAACAGAATTTCAACAACATATTTTTATAACTTTTTCTGCTGAAAACATTGCTCAAGAAATGAAAAAAGATCTTAGTTTTTCGCTCTATTAAAACGACAAAAAAAGAAATGCAAACAGTATTTGTGAATACCTCTAAAACTTCAAGCTACTATTTTAGACTTGTTAAACAGTAAAGACTAGGCAGTACAAGTGCTGTTTTTTGTTAATATTCTAGAAAATTAGCAAGCGAACAATCATAGATCAAAATATTTAATTTAAAACATATGTAAAATTAAGATCAGAAAGTTGTGTTCTACATGATTACTTTTTTACAATACACTATAGTTCTGAATAATTGGTATAACCAAAAATGGTGCTAAAACGGTAACACTTCGTGAACGTTTGTCAACTTTGAAAAAAAAAAAAAAAAAAGATGAATTTTTTGAAGCTTTGCTGTAATTGCTTTTCTAATGCACAATTCGTCTTTGTTATCCACAGCATCTGTTGGCATAAGTTGAAAAAACTAAATCCAACATATCTTTTCCAGTGTCACACCAGTCTTCTATGCAAAAGCAGCGATAAGGCAAAAACTAAAACTTGATTTTAAAACTTTTTTAATATACATGTTCAAAACTGCTTTTTTTAAACTTACTTTACAGAACAACAACAATGTCTTTGTTTTATCTGATCATACAGATAATAATCACTAAGATAGAAGAAAGTGAAATACACATATATAGCGGCTATAGAGATTTTTTTGAAAAAAGGCACAAAACTTACAGCTGTTTTTAACCAAACAACACTATGACAACTTTTAGGCACTTTTTACCAAATCTTTTCCAAAAAAAAAAGCATTGAAAAAATTGAGTTTTCCATGAACATTTTCCATTTTTTTAAAATCTTTAACACAAAAAAAAATTTTTTTTATTGTACAAAGATTTAGTGACTTTTTAAAACTATATTTATGAGAAAATACTGTATGACTTCATCAAGTCAAAGAGAATTTTTAACATAGTTTTTTTTATTGCTAAAAAATTGTCTTT